AATTCAATTAAGAGTTATAAATAATTATTGATATACAGTGTTACTTCTCAAAACCGAACACCTATGGGACTAGCCAAAAAGTTCGGAATTTGAAAGTTTCCGGAATTCAAAATTTTGGGAAATTTAAATTCGAACAAGTGAAACATTATGTTAAAAATTAAACACCAAGTTTGACATACTGAAAAAAAAAGGAAAAGGGCTTTTTTAAATTCTTTAAAATTTGGCAAAATTAAGAGATTTTTTAAAAAATTAAAACAAATTTGCTTTTTAAAAATTTCTTTATCACTTTAAACTAAATAAGTTGATACAAAAGCTTTAAAAATTTCATGTTTACCACTATTAAAAACCTTTATTTTTTTTTATCACAATTTTATTTCTCTTTTTTTGTTTTTTTCACACTTTAATCAAGGGGTTTGCCCATGGTTTGACAATTTATGATTGTAAAAGTGCCAAGATAAAGGGTTTTTCTAAAATTTGGGAAAGATCTGTTTTAAAGGGTTTTTCCAATCTAAATTTAATTTTTCCCTTACACCTTTTTAAATTTTTCCGGGGAAAATTTTGGAAAAAAATTTTGAATTGATAAAAAGCCAAATTTTAACAAAAAAATTTGTTTGGAATCCAGAAGTTCAAAGGTTTTTTATTACATAAAAAACAGAAGGAGAAATTTGGGGACCCTAAAAAAATTTTCGGATTGAAAAAGTTTCCAGTTTTTTAAGAATTTCCCCGGGAATTTTAAAATTTAAACCACTGAAATCTATGGTATGAATTCAGGGTTTAATTAAAAAAATTAACAAACTTGTAGGGTTCAATTTTTGAAAATTTTATGAAAAAAATATTTTTTATATCATTTTACTAAATTAAACGGGGTTTTTCAAAACAAATTTTTTTTCTTTTGGGCCCAAAAAATTGAACTTTTTTATTTGTTTTAAAAGAACAAAACAAGTATCTCAGAATAGATTTTTTTCAAACTTAGATTACCAAAAATATCTATAAAAATTTTCAAAAAATTTTTTAAAAAAAATTACTGATTTGACTTACATTATTGACCAACATTATTTTTAGGTAAAAATAAAAAAAAAAAAAATCTTTTTCTCCATATTTTTTATTAGCACCCTTTTTTTAAATAAAAATTAAAAATTAAAAAAAACTAAAAAAGGGGCCAGAACTTTTTTTGAAATTTTTAGGGGTGCTTCTCCTTTTCCTTTTTTTTCTTTTTTCCCCCAATTACACCTTTGCCGTCTGCTTTTTTAAACTTTCCCTTTTGAATGGTAGCTGCCTCTTTTTGCTTAAAGGGGACGGTTTTTTAAGGTCCCAAACCAGCATTCTCTGCTGTTCACAAAATGACAGGTCTAAAAGCTCCTGTTTCAATAGCGGGAAGGTGACCCCATTGGTAGAAAACTGAAATTGAATTATCAATTTAAACTTATTTAAACCATTTCCTTAAAAAACTAAAAAATGAAAAAAAATACAAAAGGTCGGGATTTTAATTTTTTTTATTTTGGGAAATAAACTTGACGGTAAAAAATCAAGGGCTATACATGTACAGTTTAATCCAAAAAATTCAAAAGGTTTGTGTGACCTCTGAATTTTAAATGCAGTTACTTTTAAATTTAATTGTAAATGTGTACATGTAGTGGGGACCCCCAACAACTGTAGTTAACTCTTTTTTTTTTCATTTTTAAAAAGGAAAATAAGACCCGACGGGAAAAAAGGATCATAAAAAACCCCCCGGAACAAAGGTACCCTAAAAAACCAAACAATTTTTTTCCCTGTGATCAATAAATTTAAATGCAATTTAAACCCCAGATTCCCTTTAAAGATTTTTGGGGACAAAAAACTACTTTTTTTCCCCCAAATTTTTACCGGAAAAAAAGTTTAGGGAAAAAAACAAAACATTCCTCCCCGTGAAGAGCCAAAAAAAACAAAAAAACAATTTTAAAACATTCCTTTCCTTTTTCTTTTTCGGTTCCCCCGAAACAAAACAAAATTAAAAGCACTTGGGGGACCAAACCCATTTTCTGAATACACCCCCTTTTGTGTTTTCTCAAAAAAATTTACCAAAAAAATTAAAAGTTAAAAAATTAACCTTTTTTTAAAAAAAAAAGAAATTTTTTATTTTTTAAAAAAAAAAATTTTTATGTCGTCAATCCCAAAAAAGCGCGCAAAATTTCAGACCCTTTTCGGGGTCTGTTTTTCCTTTAAAAAACCCCTTTTATGTAACTTTTTTTTTAAAACCGCCCCCCCACCTCTCCTTTTGGGAAAAGTAAAACCCCCGGGGCTTTTAAAAGGAGATAAATCATTTTTGTACTTTTTTTACCCGAAAGGGCCCAAAATTATGGCCCGAAACCCCAGAAGGGGGAATCCCCCCAATTTCCCCAAAACTGATTTTTTACATAGAGAAAAACTGTGATATATTGTATGCAAAATAATCAAAACCCCATGTTCAAAATTCTAAATTTTTTAATTAACAAAAGAAACCTCTCCTTGTCCTAAGGTTATAAATGAATCGTTATGCTCGTCCATATTGTATTTTCTTGTGGCGAAGGTTAAACAAACCACACACAAACACGCATATACACACAGTCAAACATTTTGTAAGATGTCAAATAAGTTATTTACCTGGGAGTCAGTGAGAGTGGAATGAACACATACTGGTACACTACATCCTCCTTCCTGTAAAATTCAGTCATAATTAAAAAAGCTTGGTTTTCCAAAAGTTTTTTTTTTAAACAAATTTTTGAAGGCCCCCGTTCCCCCTTTTTAAAACCAACCCAAAATTTGGGTTTTTGGGGAAAGGGGATGGGTCCAAGAAAGCCGCCAAAATTTTTGGGGCAGTCCCTTAAACCATGCTTTTCAAAACTCCTTTTTTACTTATTTTAAAAATTTTAACAACAAAGCAAAAGGGTTTCCGAAAAACAAATCCGGGTTTTGTAACTTTAAAACAAAAAAGGTTTTTTAAACCCCCAATTTTTGGTTTTTTTTTTGAAGCGGTAAAAAATTTTATTTAAGGGGGGAAAATTTTAATTTTCGGGTTTTTTTTTTAAAACAAAAAGCAAAAGGGAAAAAAGAAAAAAGACTTTTGGAAAGTGATTCAAAAAAGGGGAAAATTAAATTTTTTAAAAATTAAATTTAAGGCTAAGGCAAAAATCCAGTTGTTTCAGGAATGCCCGTTCAGCTATACAACTCACGGCTGTATCTTGGTCATGTATAGAAGACAATAGTGTGAGTGTTTTCTCATCACCTGTTGCGACACTCGCTTCCATCTGCATCGTGCACCTTGACTTACTGCATACATACACTCTGATGGATTAACACCGTGGCAATAAACAACAATTAGTAAATCAAAACATGCTACTTCAGATATCAAAATATCCTTACATAAAGTGTGTCACATGATACTTGAGGGAGACCTACCTAGCAATTTCAAGAACAGAAGTATATGTTTAAGATATATAGATACTGGTTTGGCAAGTAAGATATCTATTCTTACTTACGGACCTCAAATAAGTAAACAATTCTTATTCAAGGGCAGATAACATAAAAATATATAAACAGTGACCACAAATTTTTTTTCGCTTTAAAATGTTTCTATGATTAATTCTAAACAACATGCCAAGTTTAATGAAATTCTATTGAACAGTTTTAATTTTGCCTATATGTCTACATGTATATGAAAACTCGCGAAAACGTCTTTAATTTGATACATTGTATATCATTTAAATGCTTTTACAAGTGCATAAATACAAAATATGAAATTTAACTAGAAATGTGTCCATAGGACACGGGTGCTCCCACACTCCAATGTTTTGTCAATTTTATGACTCTAGGTCAAATATTTTTTGGGCTACATGTGCCACAAGTTGAAAACTAAAAATCTTTTACTAAGTAAAGGGCGAGAACTTTACAAATACTGAATAAATCCACAAGCAAACCCAAAGGTGGCTAAGTACATGACTGACCAACATTCTTGTAAACTTTCAGACCTACAGGTCAAATATTTTTTTATTTATGCATGAACAAGTTGAAAATTGCAAATTTATACTAAGTCAAGGGCAATAACTCTAACAAAACTGAAAAAAAAATTCTCATGCAAAATCCCAGTTGCATAGCTTCACAGTGATGTTGATCATTATTCCTGTTAAGTTGGTGGATTCAAACTCAAGCGCTCAAGGAACAAAAAACACAACATAATGGAATGGTTTTTACTAAGTCAAGGGCAATAACTTTACAATTACTTGATTAATCGACAAACGAAACCCTAGGTGCATAAATACACATGCTGACCAGTTTCGTGACTTTAGGTTAACTTCTTTTGAGCTACACATGACACAAATTGAATTTGCAAATTTTCACAACTAAGTCAAGGGAAATAAATCTGACAAAACAGAATAAATCCACAAGCGAAACCCCAGGTGCACAACTACACATGCTGAGCAATATTCCTTTAAGTTTCATGACTCTAGGTCAAATACTTTTGAGATATGTGCGACACAAGTTGAAAATTGTAAATTTTTACTAAGTCAAGGGCAATAACTCTAAACCTACTAAATAAATCCACACAAAAATACCCTGGTGCACAACTACACATGCTGATCAACATTTCTGTAAAGTTTCAAGACTCTAGGTCAAATACATTTTGAGCTATAAGCGACACAAAAGAGATTGGACGGACAATGGTAAATCTAAATGCCCCCACAAAAAGCAGTCTTTAACCCCACATAACATTTAAATATAACTTGGATCTTGAATGTTTTTACCTTTCTTAAAATATAGTACATTTTTATCAATATTGATTTTCTTGAACTATTTTGGCTCATCTGGAGGCATGCAGCTTTAAATCAGATGCTTAATATTTTCACAGGCATTTATAATCTCATTTTAAACAAGAATAATAAATCTGTCAATGTAAAGATTTATACTTCCTCTTTTGAACAATTTTAAACACAACTTTGTGATAGACAGTCTAGAACGTTAATTCATGTTTTAGAGAAAAAAAAATCATGGCACATTCAAGGATAGACTTCAGTGCTTCATTTACACAGGACTCTGATGAAGTTCAGGAAATGTTCTGTGAACATTGTGATAAACATGACAAGCAATATGTTCCTGCTGAGGGATTTTGTGAGGAATGTTTTGAGTACTTGTGTGGTACTTGCCTTAAATTTCATAAAAGATATATGGTCTCTCATACTATAAAGAATAAGAATAACATGCCACAGGATTTCTGTCTTGAGAAATGTTTTGTCCATCAAGATGAATTAGTCAAGTTCTATTGTCAAGCTTGTAAGAAATTTGCCTGTTATGAATGCAAGACTCTAGACCATGGGACCTGTAGTATGGTCAATCATTTGCCAGCCCTTGTTCCAGGGATTGAAAACAGCCAAGAAATTAAAGAACTCACTGAAAATCTTGATATGTTAATGAAAGATTTGGAAATTACAGAAAAACATGTGAACATAAACATGAAATATGTTGCTTCACAAGAAACAAAGATATTAGAGATACAGTCAAGAAAAAAAAGAAAGAAATAATGTCGGTGTTTGAAAAACATCAGACAGATATAATTCAAAACTTTGAGAAAAAAAATTAAGAAACCTTACAAAAACTCAAAGAAAAGAAAAACGAACAAATTGACAAATTACAAGAAAATCAATGAAAATTAGAAAAGTTATTAAATGATGAGCAAAATGAAATTAAGAGGAAAATTGAAATCATAAAAAAGAATGACAAGAAAATTTTGCAGACAATCATTGAAGAAACCTCAAAAATGAAAACAAAACTAAACAGTATATCAACAGAGTTGGTGCATCATCAAGGTATAGATCAAAGATGTCAAATGTTTGTTGCCCTGAAGAAAGGGCAGGAAATCATTGATCATTTAAAACCAGATGCAGATAAACAATGTAAAAACAATTCCATTCATTATTACAAAGTTGAATGCAAAGCTTTTGAACAAAATATAACCAATTTACAAGACTGTGGCAAATTTTTCACCTATCAAGAAATACATAAATCTGAAGTACAAAGAACTGCAATTAATCACACAGATATTAAATTCACAAATGACTTTGTGCCATCTTTATGCTTGTTTAAAAGAGACTGCCTTCTTTTATGTAACAAGGCACATTCAAAACTAATTATATTCAAGGATATGTCAGTCAGCACTTCATCATATGATACAATAGACCTGCCACCAGGACCTTGGGCTGTTGCTAAAGTTGACAATTACAAAGCTGTTATCACATTTCCTGAACTTGGAATTATAAGACTGATAACATTCTCCAAGTCTATGACAGTGACCAACACTGAAGATATAAAAATAGGAGAATGTTGTCGTGGTGTTGCCTATAGTAACAACAAGCTTATAGTATCATACACAGATAAACTAGCAACAGTGAAGATATTAGACATGTCTGGTAAAGTATTGAAAATATTTGATAAAGATCAGCATGAGAATCGTCTGTTTTCTGATCCTTATCACTTAACTATCAGTGCAGACAACACAGTTATATATGTATCTGACTTGAGGAAAAACTGTGTGTTAGGTTTAACCTTTGATGGGAAAGTCAAGGCCATTTACAATGATGACCAGCTGAATTTGCCATATCAAGTGACTGTTGATAGGTCTGGAGCAGTGTTTGTATGTGGACATTTGTCAAACAATATACATCAATTATCATCTGACCTGACCAAGGTGAAGATTCTACTGGATATAGAACAAGGAATATATGGACCAGAAGGTGTGGCATACTGCCAGGATAAAAACAGATTGTATGTGCACAATGGTAACATTAAAGTGTATGATTTAACACTGGAATAAATCTGTTTCTATCTGAATAGCCTGCAGAAAAGACTTGAAAAATATTATATATATAATTTCATTTCATATTTTTTTAAATTGCAAAAGGATTATAGTGATGAATTTTTATAATGCAAGATTGCTTTTGTGAAAAATGCTATGCCACCGCATTAATACAACACTAAATAGTAATGAAGGAACAGATTTTTTTTGTTTCTATACAAATGAAGATTGCCATTATGCATAGATCACTGACCTATCTTATTCTTATTATTAGAGTATTGTTTAATCTATTGTTATTCAAATAAAAGATCAGAGTAGGAATCTATCAATGCAGTTGAGTCTAGTGTCAAATTGGTGGTGAAGGTTATTGATCGGAAACCATTTTTACTTACAAGGACAATGTGATCTTGACCTTTGACCCCAAAATCAATAGGGGTCATCTGCTGGTCATGATCAATCATCATACCAAGTTTGAAGTTCCTAGGCCTAAGGGTTCTTTAGTTATTGATCGGAAACTGTTTTTACTTACAGGTCAATGTGACCTTGACCTTTGACCCCTTGACCACAAAATCAATAGGGGTCATCTGCTGGTCATGACCAATCACCATACCAAGTTTGAAGTTCCTAGGCCTAAGGGTTCTTAAGCTATTGATCGGAAACTGTTTTTACTTACAAGGTCAATGTGACCTTGACCTTTGACGCCAAAATCTTTAGGGGTCATCTGCTGGTCATGACCAATCACTATACCAAGTATGAAGTTCCTAAGCCTAAGGGTTCTTAAGTTATTGATTGGGAACCGTTTTTACTTACAAGGTCAATGTGACCTTGACCTTTGACCCCAAAATCAATAGGGGTCATCTAATGGTCATGACCAATCACCATACCAAGTTTGAAGTTCCTAGGCGTAAGGGTTCTTTAGTTATTGATAGGAAACAGTTTTTATTTACAAGGTCAATGTCACCTTGACCTTTGACCCCAAAATAAATAGGAGTCATCTACTGGTCATGACCAATCACCATACCAAGTTTGAAGTTCCTAGGCCTAAGGGTTCTTTAGTTATCACTCGGAAACCATTTGTTCTACGAACCGACAGACAGACAAATGCAAAGCAATATATCGTATAAGTACTAATTTCTGCGGGCTTAATATTCTGCGATGTTTGGTAAAATAAGGGGTTCTAAATTCCTGCGTATTTTATTTCTGCGGTGTCATCCTTCACGCACTGATGCGTTTTATTTCTGCGTTTTAAAGATATTAGTACATTATTAACCAATAAAAACAGACAATAATTAAATATTTGTTGATGTCAAATTACTTCCGGTTAATATACAGATGACTTATAATGTATCTCATTGTAACCATCAAGTTTTGGTATATACACTTTAATAAAGAAAAGAAAACCAACAATATGAAATGACAATAATTTTTATACTGTATGTGTATAAATTCGAAGTGTGAAAAATAAACAATGGTGTAATCGCACATTATAAGACACAAGATATTGTACAAACACAAACTATTTTGTTCATTGCAGGTTTTAATGACAATAACAAACAAAGGTCGTTTTAATGACAATAACAAACAAATGTCATTTTGATATATATATATCGTTAAATATATTTCAAAATGAGAAAATTAAAATAGCGGCATTAAAAACAATATAAATCGGACACAATTAAGTATTTGATTGCATCAATATAAATGTTACTTTCAACTACAGCAATACAATACACCCCACAAACTATAATTATAGCTTTTAAAAAAACTATTTGCCAAAAATCAAGCCTAGGGTGAGCGAAAATCATACAAACATTATTTATTTACATAAAAAGAACAAGCAAAGTAACGGGTTTTTTTTAATCTTTAATTCACAATGGATGCATAAAAATCCCATTACCGTTTAATTTATAATCTCTACAAAAGCCGATAACGATACATGGTACTGAAATTATACAATAACTGTTGTTGAAATATTCATAGTGGAAGGCTTAATTTTCTGCGTTTTTTAAATCTGCGGTGTCATGACGAACCGCAGAAATAGCAGAAATAAAGTTCCCGCAGAAAAAAGTACTTATACGGTACCGTCTTATCTTTGAATTGGGGGCATAATAAGATAAAAATTAATAGAATGCTGTTAAAAATATAAAGATTATAAAGCTGTCCCATCCTTTATAATCATCATAAATTAATTAGCTCTTTCATTTGTTGTAAAAGTTGTTGTATACAAGAGATTATATTGATAAAGTATGTCTGGCATCATATTTCCTTTTTGTCTTGTTAATTAAAATGTACTATTGAACATAGTTAACACTGCTTAACCTATAACTACACTTAATTCATATAATTGACAAGCCCTCCTTTGAATTTGAAACAGTCCACTATAAAACCAAGGGATTTCAATACCAAAATGCTGCTAAAATAAAGCAGGCAACAGTTTTGAGTCTGGTCAGACTAGCCTGAGTACACATGTGTATTTGTGACAAATCATTATTGCTGCTTGTATTCAGAGAATTGTCCAACCTGTGCAATCCTGTCATCCCAGCCCATTCTACGTAGACCAGCCTCCGCCAGTACGATGGCATCATACTTGGTGTCCTCGTCCAGTTTCTTGAATCGGGTATTCAAGTTACCTCTCTTAAAACATTGTTAAGGATTTATTATATTATTAGTTATCAAGATTTTGACAGGTTATATGGCCCCATGATATAAATGGTTGTTTTAATGCAGCTCAGGTTATATTGCAAATAACCATTTAAATACAGCCATATAACCTGTCAGGAATATTTATAACAAATTTATAATACTGCAAACTTGCTTTTTTAGAGAAAAAAAGTGAGATTTCTTCATGAATTGACAGCAGCCGTATATATAAAAGTATATAAACATCACGATTAGCCAATGAAAAGAGACGTTACAAACTTCGAGTATTACAAATAGGATTCAATTAAATGTACATTCATTGTTTTATAAATGACTTAACTACATGTACCTGCAGAGTTAAAAATCATAAACTATTTAATTTCATAAGTTTGTTTAACGCATTATATAGGTAAAGAAGAAAAAGAATTACAATTAAGAAGTCACAAGCCAAAATCAAGGAGTAAACACTTCCAAACTTTCACTGACAGAAGCTCGACGTTTCAAAAAGGATACAATACTTTCAAATTTAAAAGTTGGAAATTTTCTTTGTAGCTGTGCTGCTCTTCTCAGGGAACTTGTACCAATAACACTGAAAAAATATACATAATATCAATATTGTAAAATGCCATACCATAAACCATTAAAGCAGCACGCCTCCAGGTTCACACTAATTTTCATGAAAATTTTGAAAACGTATTTAAATGTATAATATTGTGAAATAACCAAAAGGAAGCAATTTACACATTATCAATGACACTAAGAATCTACCTAAATGACCAAAAAGTGGTCAAAATATGCATAAATAGCCCTTACTATGTTAGTAACGCAGTAGAAATATAGTTGTAAATACTAAAAAATCAGTCATTAACCGCACATAGCATGTAAAATATTACTTGAATCTTGAATAATTTAACTTTTCTTAAATCATAGTACATATTTCTCAAGTTTGATATTATTGAAATATTTTGAATTATCTGGAGGCATGCAGCTTTAAAAAGTATAAAGCTATGTCTGATACAAATATTTGTTTGCATTTTGAAAAAAACAAACTTCCAATATGCCTGTTAAAAGAAATATGTAAAGATATTTCTTAAAAGCAAAGGGTGCCTGTACAAAATCTTTGCTAAGCAGTTAAAACCCTATTTAAACTGTACATCTAGCTACATAATTTTTTTTTTTCGAAACATTTTATTCTATTGACATACAATATTCATGTGTTTCTAATAATACTTAATAGAGACACTCGATGTAACAACTCTTTTTAGAATCCTCAAGAAACTACAGTTAATGAATTCTATAAAAGTATTTCATTAATTTTTGTTATAAAAAATATTTTATACCCTTTAACCAGTTTGAATCAATAGTAATCATTATTTGCCACCAGTATAGGCATGCCTACATATCCATGCAGCCTGACCAGCCTCTATATTGTTGGAAGCTAAAGTTTTGTATTTTGATATTGAAATCTCTTAGGGATTTTGGATTCTTTCATGGGAGTAACTTATGAAGTTAGTGAAATTGGTAAATGATAAAGCTAGTGAACTGAAGTTAGTGAACTGGGTAACTTATAAAGCTAGTGAACTGAGTAACTTAAGAAGTTAGTGAATTGAGTAACATATGAGGCTAGTGAATTGAGTAACTTATGAGGCTAGTGAATTGAGTAACATATGAGGCTAGTGAACTGAGTAACATATGAGGCTAGTGAACTGAGTAACATATGAGGCTAGTGAACTGAGTAACATATGAGGCTAGTGAACTGAGTAACTTAAGAAGTTAGTGAAATGAGTAACATATGAGGCTAGTGAACTGAGTAACTTATGAGGCTAGTGAATTGAGTAACATATGAGGCTAGTGAACTGAGTAACATATGAGGCTAGTGAACTGAGTAACTTATGAAGCTAGTGAATTGAGTAACATATGAGGCTAGTGAACTGAGTAACTTATGAGGCTAGTGAATTGAGTAACATATGAGGCTAGTGAACTGAGTAACATATGAGGCTAGTGAACTGAGTAACTTATGAGGCTAGTGAATTGAGTAACATATGAGGCTAGTGAACTAAGTATCTTATGAGGCTAGTGAATTGAGTAACATATGAGGCTCCGGTAAACTGGTAGGGGACTAAAAAGATAAAGTAATATAAAAGATATATCACCTTGCATCAGGAAGGTCTGCTAATTTCTTTCCTTTATGTTTAGGGTGCATAACTACAGCATCAAACTCACTGTCTCTCCTGTAATATAACATAAATGTTAATAAATATCATTAATGAACCAGAGTCAAAATCAGAAATTTTCACCAACAATCAAGTTCTGTTAATGTCACAAATTTTCATGAAAAAAATGTTTCAGTTTCATATAAATTTAATACAGATGAGAACAGAAATTGGTGAATGTTTAACCTCATGAAAATTTTACCTCAGGAATTCAAAAGGTTTGTTTATGAATTACATCAAGAGTTTATACCCTGGTACAATTTTCCTTGGCATATTTGCACCATTAATATTTGCACCATTATCTTAAAATAACCCCAAATTAATTAGAAATATAGATGAAAAGTGGTGTACATGTAATTGCAGTCATGGAGTTTATATATACCATAACAAACCATAATTTTATCTACAAATATAAATAGCAATGGATACACTCGTCTGCAATTTATGAAAACCATTCAAAAATATTTTTTCTACTTTTGAAAATAACAGGTTGTGTTCAGCTTAATTTTGATATAAAAAGAAATATAAAAAAGGCAGACCTTTGGTATTACATAAGTAGTTGCTTAGAACTATTAAGTTTAAAATTTAAAAAAAAAAAATATTGAAAATCAATGTTGAAATGGTAAGAAAGACTCCAAATAATAATTTCTAATGGAAAATCACCAACAATCATTTCAAATTATTGCAACAAAAATTTATTGTACAATGTCATGTAGAGCGGGTGCACCTATTACCGAACACTTAAGCCGCGTTTTATCTCGGTCGGAATTATGAGCACTTTAAACTAAAGAGAGACAACTCTTAAATAGATTAGTAATTATGCTACAATTTTGGCCAGTTGTTGTGCAGCAGAAAAATGATAAAATTCTTTTAAAAAAATAAATGAATAAATATGCATGATGATTTTCTTTTAAACAAAAATATTTATAAATATAATCATTTTCTAAAAGGTCAAATTTTCAGAACAATGTGTGAAATTTCAAATATGTTAAGTTACAAATATTATATGTTTTAATAACAGATGTCAAATTAATATTTATGTAACCAGAAGATTAAATATGGCTTTTCCTCTTTGTCCAATCAACAGTGCTAAAAGTTTTATTATATTTAGGTGATAATGTCAATTTAGTCGTCTGTACTTAATAAGTTGTTAAACCTTATGACTGATAAAATGTCCAGGTGATGATTGTTGTTATAAATTCTATGTTGCTATGTTACCATATTTTGTAGTGAAACCTGATTGGTCATTTTGTTATTTAAGACACAAAAATGTTAAAATTCTATTGGTCAGTTTAAAACGAATTCCTATTTAGAAATGTTGTAAAGATACATGTAGAAAAATTTAGATAGTTAGATTTTGGATTTCCAAGTGATAACGTTGTGGCTCTCCACTAGAAATATTTGTTACTGTTTTTTAATATCTATTTGTTAACATAAGGATAACCTGTGTATATGTTATATATTATTTGTGGTATTCCACTAAGAAAGATTAACATTAAAATATATAAAACGGAACATTGTGCTGAGATTCAATCCACCTTCAGTAGAACCTATAAGTTAGTGCATAATACAGTATTAGAACCCTGACGAATACAAATAAAGGCGTTATCGTCCGATCAAAAGATCTACCAACTGCCCCTAATACCGAATGATGATTGTAATTCCGAACATTGGTGTTCCTAATTCCGAACATGAGGAACTTTTTAAAATAAATATGTTGAGTAAACAAATACACACCATTTTCGTACTTTGGCACAAATCTACATTAGAAAAGAGTTTTGTCAATCATCAAAGTATTTCTAAAATGTTAATTTTATTAAACATATTCATTTCTGCAACAAAAGTATTGAATGTCAACGAAAAGGAAAATATATAGTTTCAAAAACCAAAAAAAGGATTCAAACAATATATTCAAACATATTTTAAGCGACAATATTATAACTACAGTTTGCATCAAGTAATCTTCTATATGTAGAGAATATATGTTGTTGCACTAACACTAACAGTATTTACATTCAAAAGGAAGATCATCCGAGCAGTCGGTAAGTTCATCGGCAACACAAATAAGAACAAGCATTTGATAGTATTGCGGGCAATACAGTAGTCCCCTACCGGTCCCTCAAAAAGTTCTTTAATTGTCATACACTCCTGTGTATTGCCATTTATAATGAATTTGAGGATGAAGTCTGTATTTGAAAATATCAACCACAAAACATAATAAAATAAGTTTGTCTATATCACAGTAATGTGTTAAGTTTCCATGCTTAGTAAGGAAATTATGTTTATACAACCTTGTCATATTATTACGATGTGGGATTTTAAAGTAAATCCTATAAGGAATGAAGAAGTTGGAGTGAAAATACCAGTTTCTCGAAAAAAATCTAAGTTAAAGGGGGACATAATTCTGGAAATAGTCTTGCTAGAGTATTTAACCTTCTCAAAAATGTCGAGTGATAATAAGAAACATATATATGAAGTTTGAAGTAGATACATTAGGAAATAAAGAAGTTATTTAAAAAAGACAACATTTTTTCCCCTAAAAAATCTAAGTTCAAGGAGGTAATACTGATATTTTTTGTGCTAGAGTTATAAACCTTGTCACATATGATGTGGTTGATGACCAGAAACTTATATTTAAAGTTTGAAGTAAACACCTTAAGAAATAAAGAACATATAGTGAAAAAGCTGAAAAATTTAAATCAGAAATCTTGAAATTCAGGCTATTTGTTGCCATAGCAACCAGAATTTTCAACATAGGAAGAAAAGAAAAAGATGTGCATAATCTCCAGACTGCCATCTACCCATATTTCAAGTTTCATAAAAATATTTTCAGTACTTTTTGAGTTATCACTGGATCCAGTTTATGTGTTAAATTTGCCATATTTTCAGACTATTTGTTGCCATAGCAACCAGAATTTTCAACATAGGAAGAAAAAAAAAAGACGTGCATAATCTCCATACTGCCATCTATCCATATATCAAGTTTCATAAAAATATTTTCAGTACTTTTTGCGTTATCGCGGGATCCAGTTTTGTGGACGGACGGACTGACGGACTGACAGACAGACAGACAGACGGACAGACAGACGGACAGACAGACAGACAGACGGACAGACGGACGGAGGGTAAACCTAAAGTCCCCTCCGGTTAAACCGGTAGGGGACTAAAAACAGCGCCTGAAACAATTTATGCACTGTATATAGTCCTCATAAAGTGTTTTTCACTTAAAACAGCTTGTAGGACTTACTGCAATATATCATCATCTGAATCGGATGCCTCAATTTCTTTTATGATCTGTTTAGTCTCTTGCTTCTTTTTCTCCTTCAGTTCTCTCAGCTTTTTCTTCGCCTCTTCTCTATCCTTCCGTTTCTTTTCGAGTGCAATCTGTTTTTCTTTCAACTCTTTGGCTCTCTTGAGCTTATTTTGTAATCGTTCTCTCGATCGTTCTTGTTTTTTTTTTTTCAATTCCTTTTCTTTCTTTTCTTCTTTTTTCGTTCAACCATTATCTGTACTTTTCCCCTGTTGCTTTTGGCATTATCATTTTACGTGCTTTTGGTTTCTTTGTTTCAGTCTTTGGGAATATTAAATGTTTGCTAAATGGTGACATAGATACGTCTGTTGCTTTAGGAACACATCCATCCGAAGATTTCGATGGTGTTGTAATAGAATCAGTCGTAATGTTAGGTGTCACAGTAAACATGGAGGCAGTTGATGTAGCAGTCGGCTCCATTGAGAGAGACACGACTGTGAATGGCTTAGATGGAGTGGTGACTAAATCATTTGAAGCTGTAGGTATTTCATCAAGCACAGATTCGTTTACAATATCTGACGGCGATAATTTACCAATTGATGTAGGAGGAGTCACAGCTGCTGTAACAACAGTAGTTGCTGTAGTTATTGAGTCCAATGGGGTGAATCATTCTCTTTCAAGTTTTGTTCGGAATTTGGAACATTCAGTGAGTTCATTATGTAATTCCGAACACTGCCAGTTATTCATTCATACGACCTTATAACATGTACAGGGGCTTTACACATGATTTTTATGTTTGTCTACATCATTGATTTCAAAAGAATTTGACTAAAGCATCAATATTCAATATTTTATGATATTAGTAAAAAATTGTAAAAAAATTGCTAATAAATAAAATGTCTAACCAAAAATTGAAGAAAAAGAGAGACAAATTGACGTTATAATAATGATTTCAATTTTTTGAATTGTGTTAAACATGAAATATTAAATGAATTATAATATTTTGGTCGGAATTAGGAGCATGTTCGGCATAAAGTGCACCCGCTCTACAAGAATTTTATTTTATTTAAAACTGTGCCCAAAGAAAGTATGCTATGCACTTATCTTCAATTTATAAATTTTATATAGACTAATATAATATATGGATTATTTGCTTTTATCATTTACAGCCCTACTTCAGTGTACTCCTGTCTGGATTTTATGAATGATATCTGTTCATATAATTTGTACTGGTTTGAAGTTTAAACAAATAAATCAATCATATTAAACTAAACAAAAGAAATGAAATATAGCATAATCATTACACTCTGACCTTTTCATAATATAATCTCCTTCAGAATTATAAAGTTCATAACATACAAATATAGGCTATAATTTATAAAACTTATTTTTTAATTAAAGGAACTCTTCTGAGGTCTAACAGTGTGAACTCGAAAATTTAGAATTTCTTTCATAGATCAGCTGGCACACTCAAAAGAAAGATATGCAAAAGATATTTTAGAAATGCATTCTGAAATAAATTGAAAGATTTATTTTTATGTCATTCTCAGTCTCAAGCATTGCAAAGCTTTTCAATTTTGGGGGGAAAAAATCATGATTTTAATAAAATTCAATAATTATTCTGGAAAAACAGAGTGAGAAATTTAATGATCTGCAATTTTGCATACAGTTATTTATCTAAACCTACATCCAATGAAACATTGATATTGAAAAACTTAATTTCAGTCTCTTCATGTCAAAAAACCTCAGTGGAGTCCCTTTAATGACTTAAAAAAAAATCTATGGATAACTTATTCTGTATCTAAGGAAAAACTTCAAACATCTAGGTCACCATAATCATAAATATGTGGACAAGTTATTCATAAATCATACTCGCAGGACAATATAGTACTATAAATTCATTTGACAATTTGTTTATAAATCTAAAGACAAGTAATGTAAAAGCTCCAGGGAAACTAATAACATGTATTATAAATGTAAAATAAATTATATGAACATCACTCTAATACTTTTGAAAATATTATATGGGCAAATCTATGAAAAAGTAATTTATAAATCAACAGTTAACTTACATTTAAATACATTTATAATTCCAAGGACAAATCTTTAATAATCTAATTTAATAATCTATGGAAAACTTACTAGTAAACGGTAGGACAACTCACTCAAAATAATGACTTATATATAAATTTTATAAATCTATGGACAACTTATATATAAATCTATGGAAAATTTACTTATAAATACAAAGAAAACTATAAATCTAGCAACAATTAAATAAATGTAAGAACAACTTAAAAAATCACTTGATAATTTTTTCATAAATCTATGAACAACTTCTTTACAATTCTATGGAAAACTTACTTATACACACATCCTATCACCAGGTTTTCTGCTATTCTTGTTGGCAAATCTTTCAGAGAGTGGACAACAAAATCAACCTCACCATTCTCCAAGGCCAACTCTAACTCACGTGTGAACAGGTCTTTAGCACCAATCTGTGAAGAAAAAAGAAAGTATAATAATCATTAAATGTCTTGAAATCTCAAACTTGATGACGTGTAACATTTTATTGAATACAGAAACATATTGAAGAGAAGTTTAAGCTTCAATCCATAGAATATTACTTTTTAAGCTGCATGCTTCAGATAAGTACACATTTTTAATCAAGCTCTATATTTGAATGAACCCAATGCCTCTTGGGGCCTTGATCCTGGTGGCCTTGACCTTAGTGACTTTGACCTTTGATCCAATGACCTCTAAGTTTGTATGGTGGGTAGAGCTAATGAATGTGCATGGAGCTGTGAAAGTTGGAAGGACTTCTATGTATGGGTCAACTTCAAGATCATAGTTTTGTGACAAAAAAAATACATCCTCCCATTATATTGATCAGAGTGGCATGAAAATATTATAGTGAAAGGCTTGAATAAACATTCACTATCGAAGTGACTGACACTTTGTAATAAGTTTTATGCATATTCATTAAAGAAATTATTGTTTTTGCACCATCATTTCTAATTACTAACCATTACAGTGCAAGGGGATTATGTGCTAAAGGTAAATATTTCTTTGCCTTGTTACTATGACAACAGACTGCTCTTAATAACTTCTTCATTTTTTAGGGCAACAAAAGTTAGGCGTATGCATTATAAATGTACTTGACAACACCTTTATTCCATGTTTTATCCCTAAAGTGACAGTGTATGAAATATTATTTTAATGACACACGATGATATGTAATTAGTTTAAACAGACTAATACAGGTAATATTTTGTATATATAAATGCGGTAAAATTACTTAACACAACTTACATTCAGAAGTCATTAGATGATATAAACAAACCAAATCAGGGTTTGACATTTATTTTCAAATATGGAAAAAAAATTCTGGCAAAAAAAATACCAGTACATGTAATTAATTAGATATGTAAATTATTTACCTTGGATAGGGCAGAGTCTAAAATCTTGTCACCAGTTGTAGTCATGGTAACTAAAAATTAGAAAATATGGCATAAAATAAATGAAATATGACCACATCACACCATATGAATAATAAAGGAAATATTTTAATAAATGAAAAAAGAGAGAGGTAAATTTAATGTCAACTAGTTTCAAATAAAACATGCAGAATCATGTTTACGTCAAATTTATAATAATTTTACAACATAGATAACTAAAATTGATTAAACTTATCATTAGCCAATTGCCAGTATTGAGTCTAGGCCAGTTGGAAAATTGTCAGTCTAGAAAGACTCTATGACCTTGGTTAACTTTGGAATTTCTGGTAGAAACAGTTCTTAATTAAAAGCAAGGCAAGTCCATTACACAAATCTAAGGGATAAATCGTGGGCTTAGCGCAAAACGGTTGTAACTCACTTTTTTCCACAAAATAACATTTTTAACATTTTCAATGTGTTTTGTGGTTATACATATCCTCAGTAAGTATTTTAAATGGATTCTGAAAATTAACAAGTTAAATCAATATTTGTCAAAAGGTTGTATCTCAAATTGCTCTTAATTTTCAGTGCAAAAGGGTTGTATCTCAAGTTACAACCTTTTTGCGCTGAAAATTCTGATAGTGCAATGGAAGTAAATTAGCATTCTGTTTGTCTTATTTGAATCATCACATGAAAAGGAGGGTTTAAAGACAGTAGAAAAGATTTTTTGTTTAAATATACCTAAATAAACCTTAAATATTGGTAAAAAATCCAACTAAATTGGGATTTTATATTATCTTCATGAAATTCTTAAATGTATATTACACTATAGTTTAATCTCAT